TTTGGTGATATGCTTTTCTGCACATTGCTAGAGAATGGTTGTAGATTGAGATGCACACAAACCATCCTAAAAATCTTTCAAACTGTCAGACACACACTGCATATGTTTGTCTTCAGAGAGTAAATAAACTGACACTTCACATCCGGTGTATATGTCGGTGTGATATGTGTGTATGAACACACCTGTTCAGGTAACAGTGTGAAGTGGAAACAATCCATCAGCACAGACAGAGGAAGTGATGATGGTGTTAGTACTGCAGCATCCTGTCTCAGTGCGTTTAGTACAGTCAGTCAGTATGTCATGTCCCTTACAAAAACTACCATGGTATCACCGTAGCTTATATGAATATGGTTATTTGGTACAGGTATAGGCCTATATCATAGTACCATGGTATTACCAACTGACACCATGACTGTACACTCTCAGAAAAAAAGGTACAAAAGCTGGTGTGGTGCCTTTTCAAAAGGTACACTTTTGTACCTTATTTACTCTAAATGGTGCATATTAGTACCTTTTGAAAGGATACCGCCCCAGTGACAGCTTTTGTACCTTTTTTTCTGAGAGTGCAACACAACAGTGTTATTTTAGTTTCACTGATACTATTATATTATGTTAATATTTTGAATTATATTTTATTTTTATATTGTATATTTTCACTGTAATTTTAGTTAACGTTTTAGTAATTTTGCTGAGTGTTTTTGTCATTTTAATTTTATTATTATTTTTTTTAATTAGTTTAGTTTATTTATTTTTTAGCTATTTTAGGACTTCAAGTAAAACTGAATCAAAATGAGAAATGTTGCCTTTGCAACTAGCTGAAATAAAATAATAAATTAAAGTTTTTATATTTTATGTTATATTTTATTTCAGTTAATGTTTATTTTCTTTCAGTTAACAGATTTTTTATGGTTATCATTTCAGTTTTAGTTAACGATAACCCTGCACAACAGTACTTTTAAAAAAATAAGCAATTAATATTAATTCTGAAACAATGAAGCCTCTTCAGAACAGCATGACATAAGAGGCCAAAAATACACAGATAGTCTAAATGACAGAATATTTTGTCCATTGAAATCTGTGTATTTTGCCTTAAAAACAGCATGTTGCAAATGCTTAAAGACAATAATTATAGGCAATCATGTTAGCCAGATGAACCTGTGTTGTTTAGCCAGAAACATGATCTCCATAAATCAAACTGATGGGCCACGGAAGCACATTTACTGTATCTTAAATTAACAAAATAAATATTAATTAAATGCAGAGTAAACACTGATAGTAAATGCATTACTGTCTAGAAAGGATTGAAAAGTGAAGGTAATATTGATTTTACTGGTATTTATAAATCAGTGAGAACTGATTAAAATGAATCTTAAAATGAAAGATTCTTCAATAGTTCTTAGGTTCTGCAAAGAATGTTCTTTTCATTGGGTCCTTTGGAGATGAAAAAAAGTTATTTAGGTTCTTCAGATCAGCATATTGGTTTCAAAAGAACTATAAAATAAAAAGGTTTCAGTGGAATGTAAAAAGGTTTTCTAATTACATCAGAATATAAAAACTACTTTGTTTCTTATTGGAATTTTTTAGGAGCGAATAATAGTCAGTTGAGGTTAACAACTATTTTCTGGAGGAATCTGATTAATTAAAAAGAGTGAGACTTATTGAATAAGAAAAATCTTCAGCCAGACTGAACAAACGGATACTGTAGCATTCACATTCTCCCCTTATCTGGTGTGGAATGCTGTTGCTAAACCCCCACACACACACATACACACACATGGAAATTGCACCGTTTGCACAAAAACTGCAAAAAAAAAAAAAAAGATTCAATCCTTTCTGGTGCAGACACTAAAAGTTGTTTTAAATCAAATTCACATCCAACTATCATGTGTCTTATTGCTGTCTTGTATTTTTATTTGAAACAAAAAATGTATTGTGATATTAATGCTGCTATTTCGATACAATAATTCCATGTTTTCATTCTCTATGTTTTGTTTTTTTTCAGATTTTAATAATATTTCAGATTTTAATTAGGCCTTCCTATTGTTTTCTAAGCCTCTGTTTATCTCTATTTTTGTGTTTGTTTGTTTGTTTGTGTGTGTGTGTGTGTGTGCGTGCGTGCGTGCGTGCGTGCTTGTGTGTCTGTGTGTACGTGAACCGGTTTGGGTTCAAAAGGCTTAAAAACATACTAAATGGTGTTTTATTTTTTAAATCTAAAAATGTTTCTAAAAAAGTTTTCTGTGAGTGGCAGGTTTAAGTATAGGATTGTGTACGGCGATAGAAAAGTACAGTTTGTACAGTCTAAAAACTATTACACCTATGGAGAGTCCCTGTAAACCACACATACCAACGTTTGTGTGTGTGTGTTGAGAAGGTTATTCCATTATGTGTGTGCAAATTCACAGCGTATCACTGTCCATGTGTGCGTGTGTGTGTGTGTGTGTGTGTGTGTGTGTGTGTGTGTGTGAATAATGGCCAGTGTTACTATATTGTGTGTGTGATTGAAATGCTGTAACGTGATTGTGTTCATACTGCATTGTCAGCAAGGTTTGGAAACACTACAGAGAGCGACAGGAGCTCAGAATAGACAAAAGAAAGGAGTGTATCCTCAATTTCCTCTAAGACAACAAACACTCTTGAGTTTATTTAAAGAGCTCTTCAGGACCACCAAAACTCAAGTGTTTTATTTAAAGACCCCTCAATGCCATGGGTTATAATGGACAGAATATAACCGAAGCTCTCAATTTATGATTGTCCTGAAAAAGTTGAGCCTTCTGAAGTGAATCTGAAATATATCTCAGCATTTCGAATTAACAATAAATCCAGACTTCTACAATCATTAAAGTAGAAATATGCAAGACCCCTTTTCAATTCAGAATGTATTAATGTAAGATTCATGAAAATTTTATACATTTTAAAATCAAATTTTTAATTAATCAAAAGTGACAGTAAATCCTTTGTTTATTTTTAATGTTGCAAAATATTTCTATTTCAAATCAATGCTGATTGTTTTACATTTCCATTCATCAAAGAATCCTGAAAGAAATGTATCACTGCTTCAACCAAAATATTAAGCAGCACAACTGTTTTCAACATTCATAATAATAATAAATTTTCCTTGAGCATATTTTTGCGAATATTTCACAATATTACAGTTTTTACTGTATTTTCAATCAAATACATCCAGCCGTCTTGTGCTCAAAAACATTAATAAATCTTATCAACCCCAATCTTTTGAATGGTAGTTTATAGAAATGTGCACAAAACATGCCCTATTATCATTATTCGCTCTACTATGTTCAGGCTTTTTCATCAACATCAAACCATCATTACAGTCCAGTGTTTCCTGCTATTTGTGTCATTTATATCATATGGGAAGTCGTGGCCTAATGGTTAGAGAGTCGGACTCGTAACCCAAAGGTTGCGGGTTCGAGTCTCGTACCGGCAGGGATTGTCGGTGGGGGGAGTGAATGTACAGCGCTCTCTCCCACCTTCAATACCACGACTGAGGTGCCCTTGAGCAAGGCACCGAACCCCCAACTGCTCCCTGGGCGCCGCAGCATAAATGGCTGCCCACTGCTCCGGGTGTGTGTTCACGGTGTGTGTGTGTTCACTGCTGTGTGTGTGCACTTTGGATGGGTTAAATGCAGAGCACTAATTCCTAGTATGGGTAACCATACTTGGCCACATGTCACGTCACTTTATCTTTATCTTTTTTACTTTATTTATGCTTCAAAACCTCATATCTGCTTGGTCTTCTTAAAATGACCAGACAGCCATAATACTTTCCTCGAATACACCTGTTGATTGAATCACATGAGACATCACTGTCCACATGCTAGAGCCATTATAAACATGACAGCGAGCCAGAGCAAACACAGCAGGCCGGGACTCTTCATCTGGAAACACACACACACACACACTCCCTGGTTCTCCATGTCAGCATAATTTCATAATTCCAACCGCATCCGCTCTGTTCATGTAAACATACGCCTATGGAGAGTCCCCACAAGGATAGCTGACCAGACGTGTGTGTGTGTGTGTGTGTGTGTGTGTGTGTAAAAGGCCTAATATTACTTAATCTGCTGGTTTAAAAAATATCAATAAAACTTCAATCATGTTCAGTTTTTTTTTTTCATAAAATACGAATTAAGAGTTAAGATTATATATATGTATCAGCTTTGCACTTAGCAAAATATAATTTAACTTACAATCTGCAAATAAGTGAAAAAATGCTCCATTTAATGTCAAATAAATTGACATGAACACAAGTTTATAAATAAATAAGCTCTTTTTTTCCAAATCTATAATTTTATGTCACCGTTTGGATGTAAAACTCACAGATGTAGCCAAAAACATCATGTTTGCATTGTCTTGTCAATGGCGATAATTTTAACCTTGAAATCAGGATTAGGCATATTTGAACAAATAGTTGTAACCTGGCTTAGAGGAAGATAGGAATCGTGTCTTTGTGGCATAATGTCAAGTTGTCAAGATGTCTTCACCTTATAAATGGTGGCAAAAATGCTACAAAATGCCTACTTTGTGAGAAAGTGTGACATGCTTGAGCAAAACAGACTATATTTTTGGAATCGGCACCCCAAAATTAGTCAGAAACAAGTATTGGATTTTGTTCAGCAAATACGATGCAAGGCGTTTTTTTTAAAGGGATAGTTCACCCAAAAATGAAAATTATGTCATCATTTACTCACCCTCATGTTGTTCCAAACCTATATGAAATTCTCTCTTCCGCTGAACACAAAAGAAGATATTTTGAAGAATGTTGGTAACAGTTGGCGGTAGTCACTGACTTCCATAGTATTTTTTTGTAAGTCAATGGCTACCGTTAACTCAACATTCTTCAAAATATCTTCTTTTGTGCTCAGCACAAGAAAGAAACTCATATAGGTCTGGAACAACTTGAGGGTGAGTAAATGATGACAGAGTTTTCATTTTTGGATGAACTATCCTTTTAATTCAGTTTCACTCGTGTTCACACTTACCTTGAGCTCCTTAAAGAAGATGCAGCTCCGCGCCCACTCCACTATAGAGAAGAGCGTCTGATCGGCCATGTGGCACATCAGGCCGAAAGTGCTGAGCCGTTCCTGTTTGGCAGCGAGACGTGTGTTCTGTTCCTGATTGGCCGCCGCGCTCCAGTAAATATTTTATTAAGTTTTATAACAATAATAATAATTATTATAATATATACAATCATATTTTATATAATTAGAGTCAAATAAATATCAAATAAAGGTTCAGTACTCTGCTTCAAATCTAATTTCATTTCTTGCTTTCAAGGTCTTCAGTTGTTTTTCCCTATAAATAAATAAGTAAATAATAAAAAGATATTCGTGGAACTTCAAAATGTTATTCCATCACATTAAACTGTTTAACCGATTTTGGTTCTTATTGGAAACTTAATATTTAGAAGATCGTGTTCTACGCTACTTATTGCTTCTAGTCCGTCGTGTCTAAAATTCGTCCTTCTATTAACTCACGAACTAGTTAAAAATAGCCTACCTCTATACTAGCCTGACTGATTCAAAATAGAGCTGCTTAAATGAATACTTAACCTTGATCCAGAAGCAAAGCGCGCGCAGCCGGTAAGGCAAATGTGCCTGCAGATAATAACGACCTTGCAACAAGATCGGCGATTTCTTTTTCACTGTTGATTTTTTGTTTTTCTCGTGTTTTCTCTAATTCTACATCTCCATTTGAAACCAATCAACCGGCTGCAATGCAATTTAAATTATTTTTTCGTTTTTCAGCCAATTTGTCGATATTGACCTGTCACAATCTTTATCTATGGATATATAATATAAACATTTATATTCTAATAATTAATGATAAGATAACAAAAATAGTAAGAACATATTAAGCTATATAACAAAAACAAACAGCTCTAAAAAAGAAAAATATGATTTTATAAAAAAAATATTTTCTTTTGTAATCATTTAAATAATTCAGTATTATTATTTGGTCTACAGTTATCCTTTATGAATTTCAGATTGATGTAGTTGTCTATACTGAACTGAATGTGAGATGAAATGTGAGATTAAACATATTTCGCTCACCTTCCAGCCGCATCCCGACGTTCAGACATTTCTGAAAGCGGCAGAACGGACAGCGTTTCCTCTGGGTTTTATCAATCTTACAGTCCTGACTCTCCGCACATGTGTACCGTTTGTTATTCTGTACGGTCCTCTTAAAGAAACCCTTTAAAATGAAAGGAGAAAATACTGTTACATTCGACAACGCTAAGAAAGAAAACAAACATTTAAAAAGGCTATTTTATAGAATAAATGTATCTATACAGATGAATTGCCAAGGTGTCTTTTAAAATGAATAAACAGGCTACGTGATTTGTTCGCAGTGACTAAAACATGGAAATATTATTTATTTAATATCATTGGCCGCCGCGCTCCAAGAGTTCTGTTCCTGCTGCAGGTGGGCCAGGTGAGCGCTTATCTTGCTTTGCACCTGCAGCTCATCTTGCTCACAGCGAACAAACTCCAGAACCAGTGGCGGTACCATTAAGCCCGGCGGGGCGAGCGGCGGACTGGTTGACACTCGCGTCTGGTCGACGTATGTGTAGCCTGGAATGGATTCTGGGGAGCTGGCGCTGGTGTAGTGCTCTGAGCTTGTGTAGTGGTCCGGGTACTCTGACTTGATGGCGCGGCTGGGCAGGGCGGGATACGCTGGGTACTGTGCTGGCAGAGGGGTGTGGGCTGGGATGGGGACGGATAAGCTCAGGGAACTGGATGCGTAGAGGTTGCGTTCGTAATCGATAGGGGCCACCGAGGTGCCGATGTTTGGATGGGTGTTTTTTGGAGCCGGGGTGGACAGAGCGGTGCTGAAGCTGTAGTCAGACTGAGGTGATGACAGCAAAGGGGGCGTGGCTTCCATCTTTAAGCCACTCGCCCGGATGAGAGCTTTCTTTTGCTGCTTTAATGCCCGGTCTCGTTTGTACATGGGGCCAAATTTATTGCGCCCTCCTCGCATCCTATAATGTAAAAAAGAAAACTGCATTTGTCAACTTAAATAGCTGTTTCTACTTGATCTGACCCTTAAAAAGAGCCTACTTTGTTAAGGTAGCTAGGCTGATTCAGTCAATTCAGTAAATTAATCAGGATAAATATGTGACGCTGACCACAAAACCAGTCTTAAGTCGCTGGGGTTTATTTGTAGAAATAGGCAAAAATTAATTGAATGGGTCAAAATGATCGATTTTTCTTTTATGCCAAAAAACAA